AATTGGAGACTGACTGTTTCATATTTGACCAGTAATATTTATTTCTTAAGTTTTGCCATGTTCTCTCAACACCGAAATGACCACTTAAGGGATGATCATGGTGAGCAGACAATATCTCTTCAATCATTGTTAATGGTATATAGAGTAATTTAATGTACCACCTCTTGGTATTAATTTATAGAGTAGATCATCTTTAATTTCATATGAATGGCTTTTTGGCACGTTTTTAACTTCTTTAATTTTCCTTTGCAGGACGATATCATTCTGTTGTTCGTGTTGAATTCGTGCAATACTAAAATCGTATGATTGTGATGGTGATAATTTTTTATTAGATTGCGGTAGCGAAGGTGTTGAAGTGGTTTGGGGTGAGTGTCTGTGAGGCGGGTGTGAAAATAATTTTGCTTGTTGTCTAGTTGTGACAGCATTTAGTTGTGACAGATTGTGATGATATGGTATGTAAGTTGATCGTTGTGGTTTGATTTCATGATTAGTCCTTGTGAGTAGTCGTTGTGGTTTAATTTCATGATTAGTCCACGATTCAGTTGGAGCTGGCCAATCGTCATTATCATCAGGTGCCTGAGTATCGGAGGCGGGGTGAGGAAAATGACGGGACAAGTACTCGGCAGCAGAATTACTGGCACCTTTTCGATATTTAACTTCGATGATCTGTGGTATAATATCTTGTAATTTAAATAGCCAGTTCATCACACGCTTATTATTAATCTGTTTCAAATGAAAATTTTCTAACGGTTTATGATCGGCCTCAATAGTAAAATATGAATCTCCCATATATTGCCGTAGTTCACTGACACACCAATAAATAGCCAGTGCTTCTTTCTCAAACGTGTCGTACCGTTTTTCCGTGTCAGTTAACATTCTTGATTTAAAATAATTAATTTTCATGCCAGAAGGTGTATCTGTCTCAAAACGCCACCAATACCAATTTCTGACGCATCTGTTGTCAAAACAAAAGGTGAGGATAAATTAGGGTATTCGAGAAATAACGGAGCCGATGTTAATATTTTCGTGAATTCGTCGAAGGCGTGTTGTTGTTCATTAGACCAATAGAATTCATGTCGATGTTTCTTTGTTTTGTTTGTTACTCGATGGATGGGTGCTGCTATAGTTGCAAAGTGCGGAATGAACTTTCTGTACCAGTTTATCTTGTCAATGAATTCATTGGCTTCTTTCAGTGTCTTGGGCGATGGTAAATCGACAATAGCTTTAATTTTTTCTCCAGATGCTCGTACGCAACGGTCATTAATGGTTTGACTTAAGAAATCGATTTCGTGGACAGAAATTGAGCATCTGTCCGCATTTACTTGGAAATTAGCTTTGCCTAGTATCGATAATATTTCAGTAACATGTTTTTTATGTTCGTCAAATGTTTTCGAGAAGATCAAGATATCGTCGAGGTAAACTAGAACATAATCCCATCTTCCATTCCCAATCAAGTTATGCATAACCCGTTGAAATGTTGGTGGACCATTCATAACACCTTGTGGTAACCCATTAAATTCCCACAGGCCATCTTGTGTGATAAACGCCGTCTTCTCTTTGTCTTCTTCATCTATTCGAATTTGGAAATATCCAGACTTTAAATCTATTTTTGTATAATATTGATGGTCCCCCAATCGTTGTAATAATTCCTCTGCAGTTGGTTGGGGAAAGGAATCTTTTTTTGTAACGGCATTCAATTTCCGATAATCGACGAGAAATCTTAGTCCACCATCTTTTTTCTTATGAATGATTACTGGTGATGACCATGGGGATGTTGATGGGCGTATTTGTTGATTCTTCAACATTTTTTGAAGTTCTTCCTGCAGTTCACGTCTTTGTTGGATCGTTTTGGGGTATGGTCTTGAACTGATAGGTAGACTATCTCCCGTGCTTATTGTATGTGCCACTGAAGTCGTTGCTTGAGTAATTTTCGAGATATCAAATATCTTCTCATAAGTCCGGAGAATTGTGCGAAATTCTGCTTGCTGCTGTCGGTTATGAATGTGTTCAATTAATTTCTCAATAATATCTGATGTTGAAGAAGATATCTTATGATGTAATGAATCCAAATCTGTAATATCGGTAGAGGACATATTTTGATTAACAAGGCTTTCGAAGGCATTAAAAGATTCAATATTTGACGGGGTGTGTGTAACATG